TGGGGACTGGCTGGAGCAGAATGGCCAGGGGTCTTGCAGAGCCTCTCAGCCCCCTTTTACAAAGCTCCCTACGGCCCCGTCAGGCAGGAGCCCCTGTGTCACATACTCTATGAGCACCCGAGGGCGGGGGCCAGCGAGCCCCGTCAGTGGTAAGAGGGCTGCACACATGAGCCCATCTGGTTAACAATGACAGGGATCGAGTGGTAAATAATACCAGCAGAGGGTCCCCTTCCACACACACTGATAATTAATGTTGTCAGTGATTGCTTCTTCCACAGACGAGTGGGAATTAAAAAGGGCAGTGGCCCCAGGCAGCCATTACCACATTCTCCAACAGTAAGTGTTCCGATAAATTGGTATTTTCCGGCCACAGGCTAGGAGCTGGTGTCTTTTTTGTGGAAGTGCTTAATCTGTAATGGACTTGTGTAATGTGCATGTCGTGATGAGGCTGTCCTGCTCATCTGTTAACTACCCCTTGTTCCCACAGTGCTGTTTGAGTCTAATGGACTCCGAGCTACTGAAGTTCACACCACCTCTGCCGATGCCCCCAAACAAGTAGGTGTCCCTGGGAATGGGCGTTTGGGTTTGAACTTGGTAGCTGGGAGGAGTGGTGGCTGGTTCTCATCGCTAGAGCACCAAATGTGTTTACTTGATGTGAAAATGATTTCACCTCACTTTGGTGGAGAGCCCCTCCATGAGGACTGTCTGTAGATGATAGTTCTACCAGGATGGTCGTTTTAGCTGCTAATCATGACGTTAAGACACACACAGCTGCCTGTCGCTGGGCTGGGGTGAGATCCTTGGTAGAGACTGCTGGGGACTTGAAAACCCTAGAAATTCAGACTTTTTACCCCAAGATGTTTTCAGATATGTTTCCCTTTGCAGGGAATTGTTTCTCCAAATCAAAAGAGAAGGACTTATGTTAAGCTTCCTTTCTTAAGAACGTTGTTTTTACACGATTCCTGGGAAAAATTCGGCTTAGTGCAGTGGTCCCGGCTGGCTGTGTGGGTGTCCTGATGTGGCTCTCTGCTGTGCTCATGCTGCTGGTGGGCCCTGATGTGTGAAGGTGATGTGTGTGTAGGCAGGTATCACGCGCATTCCCGTGCCAGGATGGCTGTGACACACCATTCAGTGTGCACACACGATGTGGTGGCGCCTCGGGAGGGATTCAATGTTGCTCAGTCGTGGTGGTCTCGTCCAGGCCCTGTGCTTTCCAGGCTCTCCCTTCCTGTCCCTCTCCTGGGATGTCACATCCATTGCCCAGTTCTCACACAGGCACACTCCACTTAATGTTCTCTCTTTCTAATCTATTGTCTCAGAAGGTTCTGTAACTGCATACTCTTCCCTTTGTAAACGAAGGAAGAGTTCCTTTGCTACCAGGGCAAAACACGTTCTCTCTGAGTAGTAGAATCAAGTTAGCGTGTCCTAATAAATGTAAAGAGTCCCTGGGTGGTTTGAATAGTTAATGTGTC